TGAGTTCCCTGAGTGAGTCAAAGTGTGCTTTCCTGAAGTCCAGGGTCCTTACTCTGCTGTTCAGCATCCTTCCTCTTCTCAGGATCCTGAACTCAATCATCTTGCGGTTACTGCTGTCCAAGTTGCCATCTACTAGTATATTTCCCACCAATTCTTTGTGGTTTGTGAGCAGCAGGTCAAGAAGAACAGGGCCCTGAGTTTGCTGTTGCAGCACTTGCACCAGGAAGTTGTCCCCAACATTCTCCAAAAACTTCCTGAATTGCCTGCTCACTGCTATATTGCCCTCCCAGCAGATGTCAGGATGATTGAAGTCTCCCATGAGAACCAGGGCCTGTGATTGGGAAACTTCCACTAGCTGTTTGAAGAAAGCCTCATCTACCACTTCCTCCTGGTCTGGTGGTCTATAGCAGGCCCCCACCACAACGTCACCCTTCTTGCTCTCTCCTCTGACCCTAACTCAGAGACTTTTGACAGGCCTGTCTCTAGTTTCATACTGTAAGGGCAAAACATATGATGGCAAAACCAAATGTAGATCTTCATATTCATTTAAAAATATCATAATTAAAAAAAATGTCATTTCTTGTCATACTTTAAATTTCTGATAGTGATTGAGACCTCCACTCAGACAGAGCCCTTGACTCTGGGCTGTGGGGGCTGCCTGTCATGGCTGCCAGCAACTGGGAATGAGAGCAAGGTCACCCCCACCTGTAGTATATGCTCCTTAGTGAGGTCCCTGGAGTCCCAGCTGACTGAGCTCCAGGCCCAGGTAGACAGGCTTTGTGCCATCAGGGCCATGAGCAGAAGATTGATGACTACTACAGTCAGGCTCTTCTGAAGAACAAAGAGAGAAAAGCACGGATGCCCAACTGCATGAAGATAGACAACAGGAAGATCAACCAGGAGCTATGCTCAAGGGATGCTTGGAAGACGGTTGTCTCGGGTCCCAAGATATGCAGTACCAGGTCACTTTTACCTTGGAACTGAGCAACAAGTTCGCACCTCTCACACCACCAGCAGAGACATCAGCAGAAGCACAAGCAGTAGATGAGGGGAGGCATCCAGCTGTCATCCCTAAGAGGAGATGCAGCGTGGTCATGGTGGGTGACTCCCTCCTGAGAGGGACAGAGGGAGTGATCTGCTGCCTTGACCCCCTGGCCCATGAGATGTGCTGCCTCCCAGGGACCCATATTCAGGATGTGGCAGAGAGGATTCCTAAACTCATCTGGCCCTCTGACCACTACCCCATGCTTCTCATCCATGTGGGCATGGCTCAGAGCAATGCTGGCTGGTCATGAGTGACTATAGGGCTCTGGGGCTGGGCTTAGAGGGCTGGGGGTACAGATAATTTGCTCCTCAATCCTTCCGGTTATGGGTCACGGGCATAGGAGGGAGAAATGTACTGAAGAAGTCAACAGAGGACTGTGGCGCTGGTGCCATTGCAAGGGCTTTGGCTTCTTCTATCAGTCTGCACTTGAGAGAGAGAGGCAGCGGTTTATTGGGAAGGGATGGCCTCTACCTCACTCCAAGGGGAAAGAAGCTCTTCTCGGCCAGAATGGCTGACCTGTTTGATAGGGCTTTAAACTAAGCTCAGTGAGGGACGGGCAGACAATCACTAGTGCAAGCCCTGGAAGTGATAACCATGAATCAGCAGGTCAGGTAACATAAGGGAATCACTCCTACCCCAGCCCAAGGGTGGGACTCTGCCAAGAGGACAGGGAAGCCCAGGGCTTCCGATGGCAGGCGTAGCTGCTTGTACACAAATGCCAAGAGCATGGGGAACAAACAGGAGGAACTGGCCATTCTGCTAAGTAAAAATGAATACGATCTCATAGGGATAACAGAGACCTGGAGGGACTCCACCTATGACTGGACCACAAGTATTGATGGCTATACTTTGTACAGGAGGGATCCTGTTGCAAGGAAAGGCATGGGTGTAGCTCTCTATGTGAAGGAGCAGTATACTTTCCTACAAGCAGAGATTGGCACCCAAGGAGGGCAACTTGAGACCCTCTAGGTTAGAATACAGGGAGAACGTGGTGAGGGGGATATAACTGTAGGAGTCTATTATGGACCTCCTAACCAGGAGGAAGATCTTAGCACGAGTTCTCTAGGGAACTGACATAGGCTGCACACTTTTGGTCATGGTCATCATGGGTGATTTCAAACACCCTGACGTCTTGTGGGAAGAGCATTCAGCCAAATCTGATTGGTTGCGAAGCTTCCTCACTTGCACTGACAAGCTCTATTTGACTCAAGGAGTCTATGTGCCAGCAAGAGATAAGGTGCTGCTGGATCTGGTACTGGCCTTCTTTACCATCTGAGTCTCCAGCGTCTGGAATAAACTCCCCACAGAAGTGGTGCAACCACCTATTCTGGATACCTTTAAGAAATGTTTGGACGCTTATCTTGCTGGAGTCATATGACCCCAGCTGACTTCCTGCCTCTTGGGTAGGGGGCTGGATCCAGTGAGTTCGTGAGATCCCTTCCAGCCCTAATGTCTATGAAATCTATTTCAGTTAAAATCATATCATTGTGATAGAGCAGTGTTTCTCAACCTTTTAAGTAGCAAGTACCCCCTAACTTCTGAAAATGTTAATAAGTACCCCAACACTCCATTTCCAGGGGATTTTATATTAACAGACTAAATTGTGCCATATGTTGGAAGAAAGGCTGTGTATATAAGGCCGCGATTTGACAAATGTCTAATCTGGTGTGGGTAGGGTTGCCACCTTTTACACCAGGGGTGCACAACTCGAGTATGTACCTCGGTCAGAGGTGATGTTGGCCAAAGCTAGGGGGGCTGAATGCCAAATTACTACTGGGGAATTTAAAGCGCCGTGCAGTGCATGGCGTACCACAGTTTTTGTCATAGTTTTGAGAGGAGGAAGGGGTGAGAGAGAGGGAGAGAGAGAGCGTTGGGGTACCCGCATACCCCCTGCCTGTGTCTCGCGTACCCCCAGAGGCACATGTACCACAGGTTAACAAACTATGTGATAGAGGATGCAGAAAAAGCTGAAGTGCTCAATGCCTTTTTTGCCTCAGTCTTCACAGGCAAGGGCAGCTCCCAGACTACTGCATTGGGCAGCACAGTTTGGAAAGGAGATGAGCAGCCCTCAGTGGTGAAAGAACAGATTATGCACTACTTAAAAAAGCAGGATGTGTACAAGTCCATGGGTCTAGATGGGATGCACCCAAGGGTGCTGAGGGAGTTGGCTGATGTGATTGCAGAGCCATTGGACCATCGTCTTTGAAAGCTCATGGTGATCAGGAGAGGTCCCGGATGATTGGGTTTGGGCAAACAGTGCCCATATTTAAGAAAGGGAAAAAGAGAATCCAGGGAATTACAGACCAGTCAACCTCACCTCAGTCCCTGGACAAATCATGGATCAGATCCTCAAGGAATCCATTTCTAAGCACTTGGAGGAGAAAAGGGTGATTAGGAAGAGTCAGCATGGATTCACCAAGGGCAAGTCATGCCGGACCAACTTGATTGTCTTTTATGATGAGGTGACTGGCTCTGTGAATGCAGGGAGACCAGTGGGCATGGTGTACCTTGATTTTAGCAAGGCTTTTGATACAGTCTCCCACAACCTTGCAGGCAAGCTAAGGAAGTATGGGCTGGATGAATGGACTGTAAGGCGGATAGAAACCTGGCTGGAGCATCGGGCTCAGAGAGTAGTAATCAATGGCTCAATGTCTAGTCAGCAGCCAGTATCAAGTGGAGTTCCCCGGGGGTCAGTCCTGGGGCCAGTTTTGTTCAATGTCTTCATAAACGACCTGGAAGATGACATAGAGTGCACCCTCAGCAAGTTTGCAGATGACACCATGCTGTGGGGAGTAGTAGATATGCTGAAAAGTAGGGCTAGGATTTGGAGTGACCTAGACAAATTAGAAGATTGTGCCAAAAGGAATCTCTTGAGGTTTAACAAGAACAAGTTCAAAGTCCTACACTTAGGATGGAACAATCTCATGCACCAGTACAGGCTGGGGGCTGACTGTCTGGGCAGCAGCTCTGCAAAAAAGGACCTGTGGGTTACAGTAGACAATAAACTGAATATGAGTCAGCAGTGTGCCCTAGTTGCCAAGAAGGCTAATGGGATACTGGGCTGCATTGTTAGGTGTGTTGCCAGTAGGTCAAGGGAAGTGATTATTCCCCTTTATGCAGCACTGGTGAGGCCACATCTGTAGTAGTGTGTTCAGTTTTGGGCCTCCCACTACAGAAAGGATGTGGGCAAATTGGAGAGACTCCAGTGGAGGGCAACAAAAATGGTGAGGAGTATGAGGGACATGACTTATGAGGACAGACTGGGGGAACTGAGTTTATTTACTCTACAGAAAAGACTGAGAGGAGACTTACTAGCAGCCTTCAACTACCTGTAGGGGGGTAAGAAAGAGAATGGAGCTAGGCTATTCTCAGTGGTGACAGATGATAGAACAAGGAGCCAATGGTCTCATGTTGCAGCAAGGGAAATTTAAATTACATATTTGGAAGAACTTTCTCACTAGGAGGAGAGGAACTAGTGTTTCTCTCCAGTAAAACACTGGAACAGGTTACCCAGAGAGGTGGTGGAAACGCCATCCTTGAGGGTTTCCAAAACCTGGCTAGGCAAAGCCTTGGCTGGGATGATCTATTTGGGGTTGGTCCTGCTTTGAGCAGGGGGTTGGACTAAATGTCCCTTCCCTTCTGAGGTCCCTTCCAACTCTAACTTTCTATGATTCTATCTACAAAACTAGTACCCTCACCTAAATGATACAAAATAACTCTGCTGGACTGCTATCTTAGTTCACTGGGTAATTCCCCTTCCTCCAACAAGTTAGCTTTCTTTTTCTAAATAAATGCTATTAAGATTGCTCCCAAACTGTGAAAAACCCCTCTGTTTTATTTAATTGAAGTCCCGACTGAAATACATGTTGTACAGAATTAATAGTTGGGAAGTTCACTTGGAATCTTAGAAGAAGTTTGTAACATTTTGGGTTTTTTGTTAATTTCTTCCCTATAGCTTCTCGATCCTCCTGAATGTGGCAATGGCTTTGTAGAAGATGGAGAAGAATGTGACTGTGGTACTGTTGCAGTAAGTGTAGTGTCTTGTGGGTTAGCACTTTGGGTATCAGGGTTCACCCTGAGTCCAGTTGCCATACATAATTCTCTTTGGCATTAAACAGGAGGGATAAACACAGAATGTAGGGATGAACATATTTTGGAAGTAGAAGCTTTAATTAATTATGTGTTTGTACAGAGCTATGCTCAGTGGGACCCAAGCTGGTTGTAACTTAGATTCCATCACTCTATAAAATATATATTAAAATAATAAGATGTGTAGAATCAGTCCTGAAAAGATTACTTTTGGCATTGGGGAAACAGTGTTAGTCAATCAAGAGCTTACAGAGGTTATGTCTAAAATATCTGCATTTGGCAATAGATACCATGTGAGTATTACAATTATTTTCACCATATGGAAATGCTAACTTTAACTGCATCCATAATGTGAATATTTAGTTGCATTCCAGACCTGGTTAAAATCTATTCCAGTTTAAAAGCACCTGGTGACAGTAATGGATGTGAGAGTTTTTGCAGCAATCTGCTTTTCTGTGTAATATTATCAGCATATGTGTTCCGTAGGAGTGTGCCATTGAAGGAGGAGAATGCTGTAACACATGCACACTGACTGCAGGCTCACAGTGCAGTAATGGACTTTGCTGTAGGAAGTGTCTGGTAAGTACAATATATTTAAAGAAATGTGCTGCAAATGATTTAATATTAAATGGATGTGATTATGGCCGTGTGTACATGAGTGGCAGACCGCGCAGTTGTTACTGCACAGTCATTTAGTACTTTACTGCATAAGCAAGTACTAAATGACTACGCAATAACCGGCATTACTGCAGTAGCATTCCTATGTGTTTTTTTTTCTGAAGCTACTGTGCAGTAGCTCGTTGCAGTCACATCATGGTTAATGCCCCCAACCCTACTACGCAGTAGTTGTGCAGACTCATAGATTCATAGATTAAGGGTCGGAAGGGACCTAGTAGATCTTCTAGCCCGACCCCCCGCCAGGGCGGGAGAACAACAAAAAACCCCAAAAAAAGAAACGGGACTCAAATGAGTCCAGCCAGGTAGGCATCCAGCCTCTTCTTAAAGACCCCCAGGGTAGGGGCCAGCACCACTTCCCTTGGAAGTTGGTTCCAGCTCCTAGCCGCCCTAACTGTGAAGTAGTTTTTGCGGATGTCCAATCTATACCTCCTCTCCATCAACTTGTGCCCATTACTCCTTGTTATGCCAGCGGGCGCTAGGGGAAACAGCGTCTCCCCCAAACCCTTCTGGTCCCCCCTAGTGAGTCTATAGACAGTCACCAGGTCCCCCCTTAGCCTTCTCTTGTGGAGGCTGAATAGGTTCAGGTCCCGCAGTCTCTCACTGTAGGGTCTGCCCTGTTGTCCCCGGATCATGCGGGTGGCCCTCCTCTGGACCCTCTCCATGTTGTCCACATCCCTCTTGAAATGGGGCGCACAGAACTGGACACAATACTCCAGCTGTGGCCTGACCAGCGTCGCGTAGAGGGGGAGGATCACCTCCTTGGCTCTACTCGAGATGCACCTGTGGATGCATGGCATGGCCTATGGGAACAATTGTACATGCATAACAACACAACTGCAGCTGCCTTCCTTTCTGAAAGCTTGCCCTTTAAAATTTATTGAAAACTGTTTAATCTAGGTCTGAGCCTTTTGTTTTAAGATTATGAACTACTTGGAGTAGGGAGTGTAGCCAAATTCTGAGGTGAACCTAAGAATGGATGTGGTATACATGAGCATAATTTATACCTTCTCATAACCTCAGGCCTCTTTGATGAGCTTGGTTTCCTCTGGGCTCGCTTATATTAACTTATTTGAACTCTCTGACATTTTATCAACATGGAACTTTATACATCTCCTTACGCATCACTCTACCGAGCTGAAGGTCTCGGGTATACTGAAAAAGTAACCAGAAGGAACACTGAAGAATATGTAAGTGAAAGAAGGCCTGCCCTTACTCTAGCTTCTGCCTTCTACTGGCATCTTCTTACAGGGTTTAGCTAAAGCCTGTTGAGCACTTGGGGAATCTTATACACCAGCAGCAGCTTATACACCCTTTATACTAAGATATCAGTAAATGGGTGGTAATAGACCTAAGACAGTCTGACTGTCTAGTTCAGTGGTTCTCAACTTTCTTAGGCTCCAGGCAACCCTAGAGAGACTCAAGGCACTCTTTGTTAGACTCAAGACACCCCTCAGAAATGTCAACTCTTAATTTTTACTCATTTTTAACTACATAAAAATAATAGACCAGTTCTTCTGTTGCAAACAACTCATAAAATTCACAATGGGTCAGAAAGGTTTTAACACTGTGAATTCCTATTTGAAATCTCAGGTTTTATCTTGTAAATCATATTATGTTAACAGTGCTAACATTGCGTGGCACCCTGCATTACCCTTGAAAGGTTCTCAAGGCATTCAGTGTCTAGTGGTACTCTGGTTGACAATCACTGGCATAGTTAAACACCACTTTAATAAACCACTCTGATTTTCACTCCTATTTCTTTTTGCTTTGGTGTGTTGCCAGTAGGTGAAATGCTGAAAACAATGTTAATGCTCTTCTAATGTGCAGTGTGGTCCTTTTAACTGCCACTAAGCACCATTGACTTGCAATGAGACTTATACTACCAGATACCTAAATCAGTTTTGGAAATGAGATTAAGGACTTGTCTATACATGGAGTTGTGAAAGTAGGTTAAGCCAAATATGAACAGGTGCTCTTAGTCAGGAATAAGGATGTCTACACATGAAGTTAATTTCCAGCACCTTTTTATGTAAACAAGGCCTTATGCTCTTAAGTCAGGAGGGACTTGTTTGCAACATCTCTGTGTTACTCCCAGGACTGCTGCTGACAAGCGCATCCTGGCCATTTGCTTCTGCTCAGTTTATGCTAAATCATGGAAATGATGCAGTATGGCTGCTTTAGAGTATCCCTGAGCAAAAGCTAAATGTTACCCTCAAGGCAGAGAGCCTTATGCCATCCTCCTCTTATAGGTCGCAATGCTTTTAGGACGACATGCTTGTTCAGAGATAAGACCTGTACAGGTTGTCATTGCTGAATTTCTCAGCCTTAATCATCTCAATATGCTAGAAGTCAGATGTGCTAGAACGAATGTGGAATCTAGCATTATTTTGGACTGATTTCTGCCCTGATTTACATCATGATACTGAAATTAAGTAATAAAAAAAATAATACCTCACTTGCTATACTGGTTTTCTTCCACTGGTTTTGAAGCACTTTACAGATGAGGTCTGTCTTCATTTTACAGATGGGGAAAGTGTCAGAGAAAGTATAAGTGACTTGTCCAGCATCAACCAGCAGCCCAGTGATAGACGCAGAAATAGAACGGCAGAAGTCCCAAGTCCAAGTCCAATGCTGTATTTACAAAACTACACTTTCTATTTTGTAGGTGTAAATGACTTGGTGGCTTAGAGGCTGACTTGCCTTTATGGCACCAAAGAGCTTTGGGTTCAAATCTTGGGAAATTCATTTTAGAGGAAATCAGCATTATTAAATGTGTGCCTATGGTTAAGACATTGATTTGAGGCTCTGCTCCAATATCGCATTCCTCCATAGATTGTTCTATCTTTGGTTCCTCTATGTTTCAGTTTCCCATCAATAAAATGGGAATGATTGCACTTCCCTACCTCAGAGGGGTGTTGTGAGGATAAATACATTTAAGTGTGTGAGGTGCTCAGATACAATAATAATAATAATAGAGACCATTAAATGTCTGAAATCCTTGATATATGTGCACTTTAAACTGAGTAGAACCAACATGGGTACATTCTACTTCAACAAACAACTGAAAATTTACCAACTTTTTTTAAATTAATAGTCTTGGAAAATAGTGTATGAAAACTATGTTCTATAATACTAAGAAGCTGTTTGTCAATACTTGTTTTAGTTTGAAGCTAAAGGAGTTTTGTGTCGGGAAGCAGTAAATGATTGTGACATTCCAGAAAGCTGCACAGGAAACTCGAGTCAGGTAATATTTTAAATTTCTTGCCAAAGTGATCAAGTGCAATACATGTGCCATCTTATGATCTGGTAGTTGAACAGAGAGCTGTATAAAATGCTCTATGTTTCAGGGAGAAAAAAAGTGGTGCCGAAGTAAGTTTAGAAATACCAGTAATTCCTTATTTTTACAAATTGGTTTTATGAACCACTCTTAAAACATCACTCTCTGGATAAACTATTGGTTATTTTCTCTTTCTCTAGTGTTCTCCCAATATTCACAAAATGGATGGGTACTCATGTGATAACAAACAGGTAATTATTATTTTGATTCGATTACCATTTGTATTATTTTTATAGATAAAGGCATATTTAGATAAGTGCCGATTTGAGATCCTTTGAAGTCAATAGATGTCAATTTTGATGAACTAGCTAGTGCTAGCTTTGGATTTTCATATTATGAATGAATGATCTAGAAAACAGAACTGTTATGTGTTAGCTAACATTTCCATCACATATTGCAAAACAGATTGAATGACAGTACCTCCTATACTGAAAAGTATATCTGACCCAGTTGTGACAATGGTAGAAAACTTTAAAGTTAGTTTTGTATTTTCTCTTTTTCTTTAGGGTATTTGTTTTGGAGGAAGATGTAAAACCAGGGACCGGCAGTGTAAATACATCTGGGGTGAAAGTGAGTAAGGTGTTAATGGTTCTAAGCTGATATTCATTGATCCAAGTTGAAATATCTAGATATTTGGTAACCACTGCAGCAATGCATATGTTTGGAATTATTAAAGGCAGTTAAAATTAACAGGGATTATGTGCGATAAGAAGTATTTACTATGATACTGGGCTCCATATAAAAAATGGAAACTTTGGAATATGTACTTTGGAACTTTTTCTTTCTCTACCATTTGACCGGGGCCAACTGGGTTCTACCTGTCAAACTTTTAGAATGATTCTTTTCTACTTGATGTAAGAGAGTGAGAAGGTGTCCCCTTCCTTCTTGCACTTCTTTCCCTGACCATTGAAGACTCTGCATCATGACTGCCATATTTCCAAATAGTTTACACTGTCCAAGGTGTTGATTCATATATTTTTCAGAAGAGGTAAAAAAGGGTGTCTATTCTGTAGAGAGGATTGTACTTCAGTGTACTCTCTTTCCCTAGTACCAGTTTAGGAGAAGGTCTGAGCCTTCCCATTAAGATTTTACTTAATTGAATGTTGATTTCTTTGCTTCCAATCTGTTTGTTCTTTTGTGTTGGAATTATGGCTTATCTTTTCATCAGTTTAATTTAAAGCAGTTGAAAAATCAACTTAGATAAACCAATGCAACTTTGCATGCAGGCGTGCTACTTTTAGCTTTAATCTGCTTTAACCTGCACCTCAAGAAAACAAGATTCATGTGTTGTGAGAAATATCCTCAAGAAAAGGTCAATCACAGACTTTTTCAGTATTCCTACTTTAGAGACTAATCAGAGAGAGAAACAGAACGAGAGAGAGAGAGAGAGAGAGAGAGAGAGAGAGTGTGTGTGTGTGTGTGTGCGTGTGTGTGTGTGTGTGTGTGTGTGTGTGTGTGTGTGTGTATGTATGTGTGCATTTGGAAATATCAAGGCAAGTACGTTAAGGAAAGGCAGGATAATCAGTTATATATTTTTAAAGTTATATCAGAGTTTTGGCCCAGGTTTTGGAGTTATTTCCTAACTTGTCTGAACTGGGTTCCTTGGCAACATTCAGAGTTGTAAGTTAGATGGTTATAACTCCAGATGTTTTCCCCCAAAATACTTTCCAGGCTCAAAAAATTATTCTTCCTTTAGAAAGCTGTTCCTAACTTCTAAATAAGCTTTGGAATGAGGAAGTTCTTAAAGAGAGAATGAAAGCCAATATCTTTAGAATAAAATAGTGTATTATTTATGATTTGTTTTAAGACCTTATCTCTAAAAGCTTTTGCACTTCAAAATTTCCCCCATGTTATTAGAAGGAAATTGTTTTCTGATTTTAGAAGTGACAGCTGCTGATAGGTACTGCTATGAGAAACTGAATATTGAAGGGACTGAAAAGGGCAACTGTGGCAGAGACAAGGACACTTGGATACAGTGCAACAAACAGTAAGTTCATCTACTCTGTTTAGAAAGCAACTTGTGTGACATCCCCCCTCCCCACAACTGGCTGTTCTTTACTTAGTTTTTGGAGCCACTTTCTGCCATGAGACCAGATGGATGAGAAGTCCCCTGGCTTAGGAAATGAGGAATATGACTGTCTTCTGATGATCCCCAGGCACTGTGGCAGAATCTGTTAGCTTGTATCAGCTCCAGGGAGTCTCAGCTACCACATGCACATGAACAACCTGTAGAAGCAGTAGAAGGTGCTGTAACTTAGCACAGGTCTCAGATGTGTCAGACCCTCCAAACCCTAGGCTACCGAAGGTGCAAAAGTGCTCCAAAATGTGGCATATTATATTTCTCATTTGCTTTCCGCTATACTCAAGGCTTGCTGGGCCCGACTCTCTGCTGGTTTGCATTTTACAACATCACTTATACCTATATAAATCTGGTGCAAAATGCCACTATTTTGAATTTAGACGTTAACATATACTTTGTACAGGCATAACTGACATTGCCAAGGGCAAGGCCATATAGAATTGGACCCACTGAAAAAAGTGTATAATTGTTTGGGGTGTTTGTGGCTTTTTTTTTGAGTGAATGTGTTTAATCTCCCAAAACAGAGATGTGCTTTGTGGCTATCTTCTATGCTCCAATATCTCAAGTGTGCCAAGACTTGGAGAACTTGATGGTGAAATCACATCTTCAGTCATACAGTTGGGAAAAATCTATAACTGCAGGTAATTCTTAAAACCCAATAAAATAGAAACGGGAAGGTGTCACCCTTCCAACTGCCCTCCTTAAAAATACAGTCTCCTTAAAAAAAAAAAAACCCCAAAAACATGCAAACTGTGTTAAGTAAATTGCTTACTGGTGCCTTCCTTCCAAGTTAGCACTGAGGCAAGTTATCAGGCAACTGTGGGGCAGCTTGTGCTGGAGAAATTTCTATGCTCGTTCTGTAGCGAAATAGAGACCTTTTATTTTTTTGTTTGTTTTGCAGTGGTGGCCATGTTAAGCTAGATGAAGAGACAGATCTTGGCTACGTAGAGGATGGAACACCGTGTGGGACCAACATGATGTGTTTGGAGCACAGATGTCTACCCACTGACAACTTCAACTTCAGCACCTGCCCAGGCACTGCAGAAGGCAAAATTTGCTCAGGACATGGTGTATGTTTCCACATTCTTTAGCCCTTTTGCATATCTGCTGCCCTGACTGATTGCATCTAATTTTATTCATTTTACTAGATAGTTAATTTACACAGAAATTAACCAGAATTGTTGCTGGTGCAAGTTCTTTTCCTAAGTCAGCTTTTCAAGAGAGTATCAAATACATAGAGTTAATAAATACAGGAGAGTCAAGGCAGTTAAGGTGCAGGTAATGCTAAGTATTAGTATTATTACACAAGGTCTAGTAATTCTTTTCATCTTTTCCTTTGGCTTGGTTTATCTTTCCTTAGATAATTCACTTGAGACCTTCTAAGTCTGGTAAATGTTAACGTGAATAGTTCCAGATTCTTTTCCATATTTTTAAACTTTTATAATTTGTTGGCAGCACAAAAATACCATAGGCAGCTGGATTTTGTCAGAAGAGTTCCTGTGATGTGCAGAGCTTTCAGTTCATTCACCTATACTGTACTTAGTTCCTGTGCCAGGTGCAGAGACATTGAGTTTGTAGGAGTGCTCTGTCTTGTGACTATTCCGACTAGGCTCAGGGGCCCTGCCATATTATAAGATGATCTCCGACAGAACAGACTTAGACTGAGAATGAAGGAGGCTGATAGCTTCTAGTTCCTGCTGTACTACATAACAATGCACTTTTTGCTTTGCAATTACCCATTTCATCATATATCCTAAGAAAACAGAAATTTGAGGGGCGCAGTCTCCCAAATGAAATGGCAAACGTGCAGATTTTTGTAGGGCTTTCTCACAAGTTCTGCACAACTCATCCTACTATGCATTCCAAATGCTAAAAAAGTTTATTTTGTGATTTTTGAGTTACATTTTGAACTGCAGGTTTGCAGCAATGAAATAAAGTGTGTGTGTGACCGACTCTGGGGAGGAGATGACTGCAGCACCCTTTTCAAAGGTCTTGCAAGTTTTGATGACGATATTACCAGCAAAGGTGTGTACCACATGGTTTTTAGTAATGCTTTCAGTAGATGTGCTTCTGGCCAGTGTTCAGCAAGCAAAGCTACGTGTTGCATTATCCAGATAACCTGACCCTTTGCTTCCAAAACAGAATGATCACATTGTGAGAAGATTAAAGTTTTGATTCTGAGACTGAATCTATACGGTCTGACTCCTGTAGAATTCAAAAGGAGCAAATGAAGCTTGTAGAATTGAATCCATTTTGCTCACCTCATTCATGCAAAGGGTCCTATTAAAGTAGGACAAGTAGACTCTTACCCCAACCTGCATTTCTAGAAGAATAGGTTAGCACAGCTTACACATGTTTTCCTCACTAAAACCAAATGTATATATGACAAAATGAACATGTTCATATTTCATCAAAGATAAGTATGTTATGAAAACTGATTTTTATTTAGTCTCTAGGGTTGTGTATAAGAGAAGATCATATTGGAATAAGCTGAGATGTAAATGTGTTGGATAGGGTTGGGTATTTGACCAGTCAAATAAAGTTTGGTCAATTGACTGGTCAAATATTGGTCAAAAATGGGGAAAAATTGCCAATAGATCCATATAATACACAGAAAAAACCCAGAAATTTTCCAGTAAGAAATGTGTCAAAAACAATAAAAAAAAATGTATGTCAAGAAAACTACAAAAAATGTAGTTTTTTTTGTAAAATTGCTATTATCTTTGGCCAGTCAAAAATATGCAGTCAACTGACTGATATTACTGCAATACAAGCTGTCTAATGTCAGGTAAGAGAACAGCCTCCTGAAGAGAAGTAACTTTGAGAAGCTTAGAGGGTACTTAGCTTGTCTATTCCAACCTTAACACATGGACACTCCCATCTTAAAAACATTTAACATGTTTGAAAGGTAATGTATAACAATACCTTTTGTCTATGTCACTTTGGAGGGGATTCAAGATAAATCAGAGATATTTTTATTCTGGAAGTTATACTGCTACAACTGTAGTGATTTAACAGCATTAATATAATCATATTAATAAGTTTCCCATGTTGAACAAGCTTGTGTATATTTATTTTAAGCTCCTATGTATCCTGCTTTTGTTTTTCATCTTTTCCCAGGTGTTGTTAGCACAAATATAATCATAGGGGCTATTGCTGGTACCATTTTAGTGTTGGCTCTTGTTTTAGGAATAACAGCATGGGGCTACAGGTAAGTAAAAATGTCATTGTTAATACATTTTGAAAAAAATTGAAAATAGTTATGTAATCTGATAGGTAGTTATATTCTATGCACAAACAAAAATACTGAAATTTATATAAATATACATTTGCTGATCAATTAAAAACTGGAGGTTTCCAGATGATTTTTAGATGGATAAATATGTTAGTGTTCACAAAGTTTGGTCTAGGTTTATTATATGTTTAATTTGGTAAATCACCTAGTGTTCAAAAAAAGTAATTGAAATTTTACTTCAATATCTAGCAAAAGAAAGTATAGGAATGAAATCTGATTAAAATACATGTTTTGTAATGGTAAAGTAAATTTAGAAAGAACAACCCTGAGTAAGCAATGCACTTAATTTAAACAGGTATTAACATTCAATCAGCTTAATCTGAAATTAATTTAGGCAGGGGTTGTTGAACAAGGATGAACTTGACTCACTATTAAGGATCAGGTTTTCATCTCATGTTCAGTTTTTGGTGCTTTGCTAAATCAAGGCCAAAATTGCCAGATGAACTTATTTTAATATTAAGGGGGCTTTTTTACTTTTCTTCCTTTATGGAATTTCTTTCTATAGGAGTAGTTCTGGTCAATGTCCAATCAGGAAAGCAACATGTGTGTTTTTTGTTTTGTTGCTATGAAATTAAGGTCTAATATATATACTTATAAAAAAACCCATCAGCATTTGGATTAGTATGGTTATACAAATGCCTCTTCAACTGGTGTTGACAGCACAAACCAGGCTTAACTGTTCCAAGGGTCATTAATTAGGTAGTGCCAAAGTGAATCTGAATATTAAGCTAGTACTATTCTCAGTTATTCTGTGCAGTTTTTCTCATGCCAGTGTGATTAATGCATCACTTAAATATTTGGAATTCTCAATATTTAGATGCAAGTATGTGTCTGGAGATTTTGCCCTTCCTTGGACAAAGACCTGGGCACTGTTTCCTCACCCACAGGGCTTTGGCCAGTAAAAATTGGTGTAAATTAGGGCAGGTAGAGAAGCATGCATATAACAGCATATGAATTGGGGTAATATATGTACAGCTGCAAGCCATTTGTGCATATTATTCCCTGATTTTGGCAAGAACTGAAAGTCTGGACTCTGGAATGCAGTTGTAAAAATGAATGCAAAGCTTGGGATATAATTTAGCTAATACTTTTTATTGACTTTCCCCAGAAACATGTATTGAAGAAAAAAACTAATGTTTCCAGACTTAATGAGCACATTTTTGTTACTAGTAAAATATTGCAGCATGTGTCATAGATACATTGACAGACTCTCCACTATGAATATATTTCTACAGATTTGCTTTGAACTAATATGTCTGTGCTCTGTTTCAAAAGTGATTTATTTAGGAATAATTAAAAAGCAAATTCCAGTTTTGCCTATACTGCCCTTTTACCTATTGTTTATGTTACCTTTTTTTAACCTATTGTTTACCTATTGTTACAGGGATATTCTCTCAAATATAGTCTATGCTACATATAGCAGGCTTGTGTGGCAATTAACAGTCTTGATTGGCATCCCAACATGCAGGATGTTTGTTAGTCCTAGTCCAGTTCAACCACTGTCAGTGCTGTGCAAGTAACAGCCCTGAAACTGACAGGGTTTTGTCAATTTCAAGACTGCTGTTAGAGACAAGGCACTCTATGTAATCAGCCTTAATGGGGTACAAGGGGCTAAGCAAAGGCTGAGCACAGGTAATAGGCATTGAAAGTAGGTGTTTCTGCATGGTATTAGCAGTCGCATTGAAATTGGTTTAAATTGGAGCCTTAATATTGCAATGGCATTGGGCAGGGCTAGTGTTATTTGCAGAATTTAAATGACTGCCTACCTTATCCAGGGCATCTTAAGTGACTTATACTATATGTGCATGTTGGATACTCATTCTTATTTCTTTTTCTTTTCTATGGAAAGAAACTATAGAAGACAGAGGTATGTGATACAAGTAATGTGAATTCATCTTCAAGAAAGGTTTTAATTGTTATTTCTCTATTTTTCCCTTTTCCATGATGGGATTGACATTTTATAAAAAAATATTTTGCTAATGATCTTCAATGTTTCTTTATATTGTATATATGAAATTATTTTATAAAGGAATATACATCTGAAATATCTGAAAGTGCTTTTTTTCTGCCAATACAGCAAGTGAAATCTGGGCTCTGCTGAAGTCAATGGCAACGCTTCCATTTACTTCAGTGGAATTAATATTTTACCAAGTAAAATATTGAAAAATAATGAAAAAGAACAATATTTTTGCTCTGTTTTTAATCAGAGATTTAGATGTTCTTGAGTTCCGTGAGCAGCAATAAAAGCATGATACTCACTAAGTTCTTTGAGTTATATTAATTCCCAGAGCTCACTTTAATTTAACTGCATTTGAGTTAAATTCAGGTCCCCAGCTGGAAAGACATGCTCAGGTCCCCAGCTGTAAGGATGAGGTGTGAGTTTAGAATCCTGACCTCCCCTGTCTAAACCAAATATAGGTATTTTCAGAAATTCATCTGGACTCAAGTAAACACTGTAAGACAAATGTGAGTGCTCTTCCCACCAAGCAAATTCCACTCACTCTAGAAAGAACTCATTCTTTCACCAAAAGTGCCACCTTCCACGTCCCTCGTTATTCTGTTAATTTCTAGCTATAGACCGGCCCCTTCCCACTACCGATATAAACAGACATCTCATTTCTCCCAGAGGAAAGACTTTTTTCCCATGATCCTACAGAAATACTAGTCTTTTCTCCCTCTTTAAGCACCTGTAAAATATGAAAGATATATATTCTTTTTGCCAGGACAATGTTGCATATGTATGTAAGTTAATAGCAGCTCTTTCAAGTTAATTGCCAGTCATTCCAAGGACAAGCTTGTCAGGGTGTGAGCTCTTCCTGGCCACTGAGCAACAACACAACTTGGAAGGACTGTGTGTGTAAACGGCAGTGCCACTTCTCTTTTGTCCCAGGTTTTGACTCAAATCAACCAGGTCCTCTTCAGATGAGATGTCTGTTTACAGCCTAAGGGTGCAGACAGAAGTTCAGCTCCCTGCTGTAACTAAGAACACTTTGCGGAAGTGTTCTGAGTTGCAACAATCCTCTGGACCAAACAGAAGTTCACTGTTGGTTCAAGGGGGGCAGGGAATCTAGCTACTGACTGCAGGCCTGCAGCCAGTTTTCCCTAGCAATGGCCTCTCCTCCCTCCCAGCCTGTACTGTTTTCAGAATGGGAGGGGGGAAAGGGAGCAGAGGGAACTTGTTCTAGGGGTTCTCCAGCTAGTGCGGGAGGGTGGGGCAGGTAGACTGAAGCCCTCCCCGCCCGAGGGCTCCAATCAACCCACTTCACCCTCCAGTGCGAGCTGGAGAAACCCCAGATTGAACTTTCCTCACTCTCTTTCCCCCCTCCCGTTCTGAAAACAGCAACAGGCTTGGAGGTAGTGCATACAATGAGGGTTCAGATTTTTGTGGGATTGGGCCCTTTTAAGGTGCTTTGCAGCTGTGCACTTCTGTTTGGTCATGGCTGTAGAGTGTTTTCAGGGGCGAGATCAGGTGAAAATTGTCACATCTGTCTGTGCCCTAAATGTCTGGTCCTTCACCCATTCAAATCAAAGGGCAAACTCAGGTTAACTTCAGCTGTGGAGGATGAAACTCCAAAGACACCATTGCTCTTCTGCTTTCCACCCCTATAAATTAGAGGAACTTTTGTGGTTCTCATTGCCCAGTCTTCTCCTGATCTCGGCCTTTATTACTCTGTCCTGTTCCAAGTGGCTGCTGTATCTGTTGCTGACACCTCTTGAACTTTACAGTCCATCTCTTTTGCCTTTGTAGTGCTTCCTCTGTCAGACTCAGAACAGTGTGCAGCAAAAAGGTGGATCCAAGCTCAGATTAATTTAGTCTATGGACAGCAAAACAACAGCTGGTGAGCGCTAACTGGGACAAGAGCAGAGAGCTGAAAGTCTAGCATCAGGGAAGAAACTGCAGATAAGAATGTTACACAGGCAGAGCGATGATAGAAACTTGGTTTGTAGGGTTGTTATGTCTTTTAGGAATGGATTATGTTTACAAGTGCAGGATGGGTTGGTTTTACAAAGCCACTTGTTTGGAGTAAAAGCAGTGTGAACAGAGGATAAGGCAACTTGAATCTCAAATATCAACAGGGCATCTGGCCTTTGCCAGTGAAAACTTAACATGGAAGGACTGAGAGAAAATAAACCCCTTTAAATTCCCTCATCCCAGGATGTTGATAAGTGAGATTGAGCATAGATTCAATATATAGTGGCCAAAGAGATGAGTAGGCTGGGAACTAACACAGGCTACAACTATTTGAAGATGCTGCAAGAGTCTGTGTTGTCTCTAGCAAATTTCATTCCTGTAGGAAAAGGAAGTCCTATCATTTGACTTCCAAAGAAATAGTTACGGAAATATATAAGCAAGGATTCAGTAGATGAATAAGCTCCCACCAAAATATATGTATTGGAATAAGTGGACACTAATTGCACAGTAGCCTAATAACACTGTGCAGTAGTGTGTAGGGCAAAAACTGTGCCAATACACTACTGCGCAGTAGTATTTGGCTACTGCACAGTTACCATCACTAAAAGGCCATGCTGTGGTGCTACTGCACAGTAGCACCAGTTACTGCACATTGATTTAGTACTTGGTTATGCAAGTACTAAACTTAACGCTCTGTAACTATGGTGCATTAATGAATGTGTAGATGCACCCAATCAGTATTAGCTATTAAACCATGATGAAAACAGTCAATCAGTATGTATAAGAGTGTTACATAAAGATTATTATCCAGCTATAACAAACTGTAAAAATTGGAAAGGAATACATTACCCAGTTTCATCTGTAGCAAGCTACCCTGAAATACATGAAGACCTAGGAAAGCATTGGTCTGCCTGAATAACAACACAATTATTTCTTTAGTGGTAGATTGGAGAACAATAGAAATCCATTAAGATGCTGACCCCCTAAAATATTCCTGAAGTGTATGAAGGGTGAGATTAGAACTGGTACTCAGGTGGCATTTTGAGGTAAAGGGAAAAGAAGGCTTGCAGCATACCTGTTTAGGATCTTATGGCTTATGATTATATGTTTAAAATAGCAGGGGAGAACTTTCAAAGTTTTCATCTGGAAGTAAAGGAAAATAGAATCTAGTTCAGTTCTCTAGAAGGATGTTACCTATGAGTAAGTCAGCCTCTTGGTAAATGATCTCCTTTTATTAATGGTGACAAACAGAAAAAAAAAACCTTGGAAATGTAATGTCAGTAATTGGGCTGCTTGTTTTATGCTATAAATAAAGTCAAGGTAGTCATTTGTATTAGTAAGCAGTTTTCAGACTGTTAGATTATGTCCAAAAACTGTGATAATTGATGGCTATAATTTTACCATCAAAAGAAAAGTGATAAGATGACACCAATTAGGAATTTCTAAGGTAAATGGGGAGCAGTCTGTGTGTAAGGGTAGTGCCACTCCTCTGTTATCCCCAGTAAACATTTTCTGTTGATAGTCAAAGCCAGAGCATTGGGGAGACTGGCAAAGAATAGATAACATCAGGTGCTGGTGGTCTTACATTACTGCCTCTTGGCAAAATTAGGGATGTATTATGAGAACTATTATGAGAACAGCTGAGCATTTTTAACTTGTACCTGCATCCCACTGAAAAGAGGAACTTTAATAATGGGAGGTTTTTCTCTAACCCAGACTAAAGACCTGAGCAAGATATGAATTGTTTTGATAAACTGTTATAAGAAACACTGAACATATTTTTTGCTTGGTTGCAAATCATTTGCTTCTATTGCAAAAAATAAAATATGTAATTTAATCAGAATAAAAACAAGTTGCAGATGAACAAAAACAGATGTTATAATTGAATCTTTCACACCATGGCTCAGAATCAATAAATTCTGATGCCATAATCCTTAATTATTATCCTTTTGTAAACATCTGACAGTGAACTGTAAAGATTCAGCAGTTGCAGAAGATCACTCAAAACTAGGAGCTCTGTCATTCAGGAAACAGATGAAATCCTTAAAACCAGTGTATTTAACAGAGTTGGAGTCAGTGCAATTTAAGTAAAATTAATTTCACCCTTATTGCCTCTTTCATAGGTAATAAGTTAAGTAAATGAGCCTTAAACTCTTGTGTAGTCGGTAAACGTTAATGAAAACAGAGTTTCTGTAGTTAACTCTGTGTTTGACCTGGAAACATTAATTTTTCCATAAATATTACATTAAAAAAAACTGGCTTTGCAATTTATGCCTAGAAAGAACTAAGGGGCATTAAAGTGATGATGGGAACGAAGGCCAGGATTTTAACAGGGTGATCAATGATTTTTGGGTGCCACCTTAGAACAACCTGATTTTTAGTCTTAAAGCAGCTTGATTTTCAGTGATTGGGGTCTAGGCGTCTGTATAGTTTCACCAGCCAACAAATTAAAATAAACTGCTAATGCTCGGTCTTTTTAAGGTGCTTTTCTCAATGCTCATTCATTAAGCACTAAATAGCCACAAACCTGAAAAGTAAACCAAGTGAAAAACACGAGGTTTTAATTCCCTAGAAGTCAAACAGTAATGGAGAATACACCCTACTCCTTCACTTCCTTATTGAGCCAGCTTCCTCCTTTTTTTATCCAGTGTCCTAAGAAGCCATATGTGACCAAGTGGTCATGTATACTGGAGTAGCTGTACCTTGTTTCAGGATGCTTGTTGTTGTTTCCTGATAACCAGGTGTTTTAAAGATATCTCGTATATTAGTCATCCAGAAAATGAGATGTCCAAAATTAGCTATTATTAAAAAACTTGGCCAGGGGGTTTCAGTTAAAAGGGAGGTTTCACTTTTCTGAATCCTAAAAATATGAAAGACTCCTTTCTCAACTCCCAGATGTGTGTTAGTGTTCTTACTGTGTGTGCTATAACAGTTTCTTCATATAGATCATTATCCCTAACTCTTTGTTTTAAAAACTAATATTTGTGTGTGTGTAAATGCATGTCCTGTTTTCTGACTTTCACATATTTGTTATACTTCAGACAAATACCCCAGGGAGATTATGTAAAAAAACCTGGAGAGGCCGACTCTTTTTATAGCGACATGCCTCCTGGAGTCAGCACAAACTCTGCATCTAGTTCTAAGAAGAGGTCTGCTTTTCTGTCGCATTTTCAGATATCTACCTGTTCCATCACCCATTATTCCATTAGTCAGAACATTTCATTGTTTTGCAGCAGGTTTGATTCCTTCTTTCTTCTTTTTGGAATGTTAAAATGGCATCTTTTATTCTTTGATTACTGATTTCCATTCCTCTCCATCCCCCCTATAGTTCAGATTCATTTTATTGCTGGTTATTAAAAATCAGTTCAGAACAAGTATACTTTACATTCTATTGAAGTCTTGGATAATGTAATTTTCGACATTTCTCCATGTGGGATTTGCTTTCCAAGAAAATGGTAGTGCTCATAGTGAGCTCAAAAACAATACAATAACTGAAGAACCCTCTGACTTTCATGTCATATTCATGTAATCAAAGAAACGAAAGAATATTATCTGGCTTCTGTAACAGTTATACAAATTAATTGGTTAATATGAATGTTATTTTTATATCTTTATTTGTGAATGTCATCATTAACTCACTGTATTTGTAGTCGACCTAGATCTTTTGATTTTTGTTCTTGCTGACTTGTACAAAGGAAGGAGGTGCTCACAATTTCTGTCAATTTCACATTCTAGATTAATATATTTAAATGTCAGGAAAGTGTTAACCTAGGACATGATGCTGCAAACACTTATTACTGGCCTCGTACTTATTATTGTGAGGATAGCTGCTGGGTGCTAAGTAATGTATCATTAACTTGTTCAGAATTTACTAATATTTTGTTGCTCTAATTCCTTAAAAAAAGACATTGACACCATCTTAAAATAAGAATGCATTGCAAGCATTAACAGATCATTAGTTTATAAAGCCATTGCCCTCTGTAATCTCTTTGCAATCAGAGATACTTTAATTATGAAACTCCTTTTCAACTGGGAGGTCAGAATGGCTTATGCATTACACAGTTTATAAGAAGCAGTGTGTCACTGTAGGAAAAAACAGTCTTGTTCTGCCTCCAAGGAGAATTGAAGTTTTTGGAGACTTTCCAGATCTTGGCCCTTCAAGTTATTTATAACTGAGCAATTGACAAAACCACAAAGTACTTTAGTGCATTTAAAATGGCTGGACAGAGCAATTATATACAAGAGATGCTTTAGCAGTACCACTGAATATTCCAAGCAGGTCCAAGTTCCATTTCCTTTGAGCAATTACAAAGAAATCTATGATAAAGACAAAAAGATCAGTGAAGGGAGTAGCATTTGAGATGTAATTAACTAATGACATTCAAGTTTTTGGATAAGGCTCTTATATTTGAGGAGGTATAAATAATTTGTTTTTAGGGAGCATAAGGAAATCCTAAAATGATGCACTGTCTTTTATTGCAGAATCGTATTTCAGCTGCCTTAGTTCTAATATAATCTTGGGAAAGCAAGGCTCTATAGGTTTTGTATTCAGCACTGGAGCTGGGTTGTATTCCTGCTAAGAAGCAATTGTTTGACAACTGAATGTTCTTTAACCCTTCTCTTATTTCATTATATGCCTTTGTTCCTCCTCATACTTCCATACCTTTCACATTGCTTTCACTTGCTTATTGTTTATTTCACAATGCTAAGAGATCCCTAAGGTCTGTCTACACTAGAGAATGTTGATATTGCCACGACTATGTTGCACCACCATTGAGCAAGTTTGGATTATGCCTCAATCCACACCATGACCAGACCCAGGAACACAAGACAAACCAGTAAAGAAAGAGATTAATAGTGTTTCCATTTGGGTCCTCATAGTGCAATTACCCACCTACCAGGAAGCTTGTCTTCAGTGCACTCAGTCTAAAAATAGTCTCATCTCTTGGCAGTCCTGCCAGCACTGATCTGGGCTTCTTTATGCTAATATGCATTGTCCAGTTTGCTGGACAGAATTCAATATAAATCATTCCAATGTTTACACATGGTTTTATTATAAAAGTTAAATTTAAAACAACAAATTCTATACATGCTAAACAGTAGGCCAGTCGTCTTTACCAGTTAAAGAAACCAGTAGCAATAAAATTATAAAATCCCTAAAACGTTCTGATATTTAACACTTAACACAGGTTTGAAACAATAAAAAAGGCTCTTGTTTTAGTATGGCTTCTGACAGGCATGATCTTCACAGAGCTGTCCAAGCAGTTTCTGTCAGATGTCTCCCTTCTGAAAGAGCAGGTTTGGAAGAACATGTGTGTAATTAGCAGTGTAACTGGTGGGGGGAGGGTAACTGGGGGCACCAGCCCCAGGCACTGGTTAAGTGGGGGTACCAGAATTGTGGTCCCTGGGGAACCTACACAGCAGCAGCGGGAACAGCTGTCAGTGTATAGGCAACCCATGTGGCAGCTGTAGCTGACACTGATGTGTGGGGAACCCATGCAGTAGTGGTGGCAGCAGCATGCAGTGTAAGGACACTAATGTCAGCCAGGGTCTTTTGAATTTCTAATAAGACACTTCCCTTACTCAACACCCCCCTCCTATTTCCACCCCCAGCTCTTGGAACCCCTGCCCTTGCCCTCCCCCCACCCAGGGTACTTAAATTCCCAGTAACATCTCTGAGTACAGTGAAAAAACACAGGTACCCTCCTCAGGAAAGGGCCATCCACATAAATACATGCATTACCTTTCCACAGTCTCTAAGTGTCGGTTGTCTTCTGTCCTCTGTTGTAGACCAAACATTGGATTGTCGCTACAGTAAATGGGATGGGCAGCAAAATTGGCTTTGTCTGAGAAAGGTTCCTGGAAGGCCTCCCATCTCCACTAGTGCTGGCCCCTGTCACACATATCTTAGATGGGAATACAAGAGGGAAGAAAAATATTACCTTGTGCTTAGCATTTGATTATTCAGCCAAGACTTTGGCCTAAATCTGCACAGCACTGTCATCAACTCACAAAAAGAATAATATATCAGTAACCTTATATGAAGCTGAGAATGAGTTATTGATCTCTTGGATTCCCCCCTGATTATCATGATAATTCTGGTCTTCCCAGGCTAAAGGCAGTGGGGCAGATGCAGAATAAAGCCTCCCAACCATCTTTCACCATCATGGTTCCCTCTTATGCTTGTTAGTATGTGTCCCACAGGCAAGTTGGTTCAAATATTAGATGAAACCACTGTAGCTAGTATAGGTGATAAAAGAACATGTACTTGGGAGGATCTAAAACATAGATAGGTATAGATACCTTGGGAGCCTGGCCATGAATGGTACAGGAACAACTGGATGGATGCTAAACCAATTTACTTAAACCATTTAAATGTGGACACAGGGTACCATTGCAAGAACAGACATTGCAAGCAAAACTTATCTAGAGTGTTTAACCATAGTACAGTGCACTCTGCTAGTGCAGACAGACCTTTAGGCTTTGTTGTGTGATCAGCCCTAGAAATATAAATGTTTTTAATTCATTGACCTAATATTTAGTTATTAGAAGATAATCTAACAACAGCCACATATGAGCCCTCCTATTCCAGGTCAAATGGATTATCTCATTCCTGGAGTGAAAGGATCCCAGACACAAAACATATTTCAGACATCTGTGAAAATGGGAGACCTAGAAGTAACTCATGGCAAGGTAAGGGTGAACTTTTGCACTGGCTACAGTCAAAACCTGCCTTGACGTCACCACCTCTATGCTGACAATTTAATTGTTCTTTGGACAGGAACATGACTCCCTAAAACTGTACATTTTGTTATTAGCCTTGGAATTGAGATTTAACATCACAACACACTAGTATATTTTGCATTATCGCTAAAAACAGGAACTCGGGACCCTCCAGCTCCAAGAGGTAAATTATTCTAGGTCTATGGCAACAGGCCAAACTGCAGTTTTAAATAAGGTTTTAGGTGTTACTTTTCAGCTGTCACTTTCAAATGAGCTTTTGAGTACCTGAAACAAACATGCCTGATACATTCAACTAAGAGTGACTCTGATACAGATGTAGTGACCCGAATTCTCTGCTGTACCAATGGTGGGGACGATGTGTTAACCATTTACAACAACTCCTCAAGTCTCTGACTGGGGAGCTAGCCACAATTCTGGTAGTTCTAGTGGAGTTAAGCGCAGTCTTGGGGATGCTCTAGCTGTTAGTTATCCCCTAGAAATCATCTTCCGGTTGACAATTATGTACTCACTCAAGCCATATATCACACATTCTTGACCCTCCACTGAGGCCCTGGGGATGGGGGTGGCCTATGACCCAGTGTGCTCTGTGCCCACTGAAGTATACATAATACTTTCTGTTTCTGTGCCACTTGAACAGAATGGGCCAGATTTTGTATTTTTGTAATTAAACATGCCACTTACCTTACTGTGGCCAATTCACCATGGAAGTCCCTGGAATACCTGGAAAAAAACCCATCAAACCAATAAAATACTTTCTTATTTTCTTTTTCTGAGAAAAATTAAGAATTTGAGCCCTCTAATTGAACTGCACACAGGAGCATCAGAATGGCCCTACCATAGCTTTTCAAAGATGAAGACCAAGATATATGTATTTAGGCACTCAAGAAGAACTGAATTCCTTCTTGAATGATCCATATTGCTTGAAATGAACTGTAAATAAGACCAAATATACTAAAACAGGACATGCTACATTTTGAAATAAGGCTTTGATAGACAGATTTTCAAAGGTATTTAGGTGTTTGGAAATGCAAATAGGCTACTGATGTCTAAGTAGGTTATGTGCCTGCCTTCCATTGACTCCAATACCTAGGCACATTTGAAAATCCTACTAGGTCCCAACTGTCTTTTCCAGTACATAAATATTTTTGAAATTCTGTCCATAAGTATTTTAGTCTGAGGGCTATTACATTGCTGTTTGTCAATGTCCAAGTCTGTTGCATTACTTCATTAATAAGGTCCAGGTTGGTCTTTTCTCAACTAATCAGGTAGGGGAGTAACAGAAATGGAAGCATTGCTTGTCTTCTTGTACTGGTTACCCATATGATGGGCAAATAACTCCTTAAGGACTTCTATACTCAATTCCTGCACATAGGGAGAGGAACAATTGCAGCTTTTGTCTCATCCCCCACTCTTTGGCCACTGCAGCTGTACTGGGGAACTATATGCTCCTTCATTTCTAGAGCCAGTTCATGGTAGCTTCTCTCCCCATATTCATGTCCAGGTTCAGCATGATGTCCAATTCGCTCCCAGGACAGTGTAAGTACACTCTGTCTTAAACACAAGACAACAGTCTTGTCTTAATGAGGGTACCACTCTCATAAAATAATTCTACCAATTAATCCTGTCTGCTCTTTCAGCTCTGAGCCAAAATTCTCACACCTTACATTGGGAAATTTATAAATTTATAGTAACAGTACAGGATCTATTGTTTGTCTTGATACAATTTTAGCAACTATGTAACAATGGGCATATTTACATTTGTGTATATGTTCTAGATGTGGGGGTTGTTAATGTTTAATGATGCTGAGGTCATAATTTAAATTCAATATCCTGTGATAAATATATGGAAATTATCTTTATCTTTCCATCTAGCATTCTGCTTTTAATTTCTGAAAATAAATTCAGTCAGATAATTAATACATTCTGAATGCCCAATTTAGATGCATGCTGAATTTCTTGGTTCTCTAAACTGACTATGTATCATTCAGCCAGAGCAAAATGGAATGAAACTGGGTGAGCCTCGGGAGAATCCCTGCCCTGTATAGGGAAGTAGGCCCAGAGCTGACTCCTGCACCAACTGCTCTCAACCCTTTGGATACGTGTTCTTGGCCTCTCACTGTGCTAGTGACTACAGTCCTACTCAAAGCACATCAAATGCCAGAAAAACATAATGTAGCCTCTGTCTGCTGTGTGCCTGGTGGCACTCTCAAGTTTGGTCATGCCTTATTAGAACTACTCTAATGGCAGCAACATTACTTTTTCTGGCATGTGGTGTGCACAGAGTGAGAGTGACTGGGTGGAACATGTTTTCACAGATGCAGTATGGTTGAATGTGATCTAAACCTGTGGTCCACACACCCCTGGGGGTTTGCAGCTTGTCTAAGGGCTCTGCAAATGATAACTATGATCAATCAAAAGTATGTGAATACCAACCACATTTACCATTCAGAGGGATCCACACCTCCATTTGAAAATTTTTAGGGGTCTGCAAATGAAAAAAAGACTGAAAGCCACTAACCTAGACATACTCCTAGTGTAAGTAGGGAGAAGGATGCTTAAAAAATGGTCTGGTTAAGGAACCCAGTATGTATTAGAACTGCTTCTCCATACTTTGATGGATTTGATAATAGGCTTCCAATATCTGAAGGGTGGTTATAAAGAGGATGGTGATAGACTATTCTGTGTAGCCTCAGGGGACAGGAAAAGAAATAATACTGTTGCGATGCAGGATCAGGAGGCTAAAAGTTTTCCCTGCAGGTCTTCTTCCATTGTTGCTGAGTAGAATGTAATGCAAAATAAGGAATCTGGTTCTCAGTGGGCACGTCTACACCTGCATTAATGCACCGTAGCTACTGCTCATTAAGTTTTGTACTGGTAATAACAGGTACTGGGGGAGGCACACCTGGGCCAAGGGTTAGCGAGGATTTAGTTAGGGAGCTTCTGGAGGGGCTGGACGTATTCAAGGCAGCCGGTCTGGATGATCTCCACCATAGAGTTCTAAAGGAATTGGCCGAGGTCATTGCAGGACCCCTGGCACGGCTTTACGAGCACTCGTGGTGCTCTGGAGTGGTGCCGGAGGACTGGAAGAGGGCCAATGTGGTTCCCATCTTCAAAAAAGGGAGGAAGGAGGACCTGGGAAACTATAGGCCAGTAAGTCTTACCTCAATCCTAGGCAAGCTGTTCGAGAAAATAATTCTGGCACACATCCAGGAGGGGCCAGCAGGGGACTGCATGCTTAGGGGCAACCAATACGGGTTCATCAGTGGCAGGTCCTGTCAGACC